GTGTATTATTTGCAGAAAGTTTTTATAGCTTGTTTAATATATGTATTCATTTTTTCATCTATTTCATTAATATTGATTCATTTCTTTTAATACATATTATTTTCTTTAATCATTTTAATGTAAATCAATTTAATAATTAACAAAAAATAAGTAAAATAAATTAAAATAAAGTTGAACTCAAAAGGTGTGCCTTTTTAGTCCTAAGATGCTCTATGGCCTAATAAATCTCATATACCATTAATAAATTATAAATTTGTTATGTGAAATGGATTAAATGAAATAAATGAAATAAAATAAATTAATATTAACAAGTAAATAAAATAAAGTAAGCAAAATAAAAATATAAATAAACAACATTGTAAAAATAAATAAATTCAATTATAAAATAAAAACATACATTAAAATAAATAAATTAAGTATACTTTATTAGGTAATTGATAATATATTTCTTCATTTTTCATTTTATTTTACTTTATTTCATTTCATTTATTTATTTTTCTTCATTTTACTAACTATCATTTGTTTTATTTGATTCATGTGTTATGCACCACTTTCTTTCCAAATATCGGATCGATCTACTTTTTTATTATTTGTGTTTCTTTTAAACTGCATAATGTAGAAATTCCCAAGAATATCATTAATTTCAATCATGGACTCAGGGCCGGGGACACTCATGAATGCTAAATTACCGTTTATAACACGCGAACCTCCGGATCTCCACGGCAGCGGCACTCGGGCAATCATTGGGTTTAAGCAACGTCGGGCGTGGTTAGTACTTAGATGGGCTATCGTTTAGGCACGATCACGGCACGGAAAACTCCGTAGTGGCTAATAAGAGTCCCATAGCTGTCTAAAGGAAAGAGTCGTATCCCTTAAATGTCTAAAGAAAGTTGTGTAAAGGAAACAGTCCAGTTCTTCAGTTTCAAAGTTGCAACTTCTTGGTTGGAAATGGTTACTTGAATGGGCGCGGGGTCACGCAGGAGTGGGTTCGGGGACACGCAAGAGTGGGTTCGGGGACACGCAAGAGTGGGCGCGCGGGCGTTCCAAAAACAAATTCTCTATGTCCGCAGGGTGTCCATCCTTTTTACGAGGGGTATGACTCACATTATGTGGGCAAACTGAAGGTGATAGTATTGCTAGCATACGGATAACAATATGTGAACACACATGACTGCACATAGCACTCATGCCTAAATCAAATGCGAACATATAGCTAACGTTTGAGTAGCAGCGTTCCGTGAATGCTCCTTGAGCAATTGATCAGAGAGCAATTCACACAACGCAGGCATAGGCGACATTGACCTAAGTGAGAGAAGGTGCGGCAGTTGAGAAGAGGTTGTTGCCAATCATTGACGTTTATCACCTTCGCCCCCTGTTACCATCCTTGCCATAGTAAAGGTTCAAGTTCAAAAGATATTTTCAAATTAATGCACAGTATCAGATTAAAACCTGAGTAAATACGTCTAATCGTCTACTTTCTGGATTTGAGTAAATTGCATGGCCATTTAGGCAAGTAAAACATCATTATCTGCACTTGCGAATGGTCTACATACGGCGTCCGCCATTTGTCTGGATCCTAAGTGCTCCGTAAGACCTGAAAAACGCCCGTCCCAGGAACGAACTATAGGGACTTCAAAAAGAGGCTCATAACAATAGAACTGCTAACTGTTGCCGTTCAAAAATCATCGACCAGACGATCTTTGTAGATAACCGATGTGTTTGGGACACATCGTAAATTTTATCTTGAGAGTCCAAGGAAGTTCGTGACAAAATGGCTGAGAAATTAAAGAATTAGTGCCAGTTGGAGAGCCCCAGTTAGTGCGTGGGACGGGCGCTTAAAATAGCAGACCCAATCACAAAGGAACCTTCGGTGGACAAACTCTATCGCTATGAAGGTACCTGCTCTCTTAGTTCCCGGATACGCGGTGAGTATTTGAATTGAATTTTTCGGAAACTTCAGGATTTTTATCGAAGATAGTCTATTGGTAAACAATTTAAGACAACTCATACGGCTCATTTATGCAGCTCAAAACTGTTAAAAATGGGGATATGCAGTTTAGCAGTTTCACCATTTGTATGGTAGTGTACTGATAGAACTGAGGAAAGAAAATAATAATCAAAAGTCACAGTAACGAAGAAAACCAATCAACAAAAATTTATAATTAAACATGATTGGAGTAGCATCTATGAATAATATAATGAGGACTAATAAAGGAACCTTGATGCTCATACTTGTTCTATTTTACTTACATATAGTACATGCAGAGGTGATAGGAGCCGAAGCTTTTCGAACGTCTAGCGTTCATCATCAAGGGCTAGTGCATAGGCATACATAGTAACAGCGAAAGAGCAAAATAACAAACAACAAGCACTAATAAACTACATCATGAACAAAATTGAATTAGCTCAAACAGTAAATAGCAAAAGTTTGAAGCTGTATAGGTGAGAAAGGAGAGAGCAGGTTGACAAGTGATGAGAGCTGCTTACATACTGCATGAAGAAACTATTTAGGAGCATAACAAGATAAAACAGAGGTGAACAGGAAATGAACTTACGAGGTTCAATACGAAACCGGATTTTGGTGATAACTAGCCCACCGTACGTTCGAATTAGGTTTTCTTTGACTTTCCTGATGGCTAAAGATATACTTAAGAACGCTACGTTCACAAATTTGAAAAATCTTAATTACCTTTGTGGTTACGTGGCTTGAAGTAAGGCAACTTCATGGGTGTCCTGCTATTCTCATGTTTGACCGAACTTTTCGCTCTTTTTCGGTCTTGCACAACCTTTTTCAACCCACACGGATGATTGGAGTTTCGTCTCCATGTCGCAGCCATACACCCACGTTTTGCCACCGAAAATGATCCTATCCAAAAATTTAGGATCATCGTTAGAACGTTCAAGATGCTCAAGGGAAATTGGAACTGCGTTGGATTTTTGTTCAACGGACAACAATCACGGGACAAGTTCAGCTGAAACTCGATGCCTATCTAAATACTCAATCAAAACTGTATGTGCAGAGTCTTCAGAAGTATCACATGGCTCAGGAAGCTCGAAAAGACCATTTTTGAGCACTTCTGCCCGCAATTCTTCCACCCGGCAAATTTCAGTTGCCGTTGATGGTCGATTCCTATGCTCCTCATCTTCGACGGACTCCTGACCAGGTTTGAACCGTTTGAACCACTCAAAACGACGAGAACAACGCAAACAATGATCTTAGTAAACTTAACTTAGCATATCAAAAGTTTCGGCACAAGGTATGCCAAGTTTAAAACAAAATTTAATGTTAAATCTTTGTTTTATGTGTGATCGCATGATAAAAATCGCAGAGAGCAGCGGACTTACTCGTATTCGAGGTGACATAGAATGAATACTGATCAAAATGAAGAAAATCTGTGAACCTAGCGTTCTTCAATACGTTATCAGCTATCAGGAAAGTCCAAGAAAACATAATCCGGACGCCCAGTGGGCTAGTTATCACCAAAAACCGGTTTCTTTTTGAACTGACCTGGTATAGGTAGTTATAGTCTGTTTCACGAAAACTGAGACTTTTTATTCCGCATTAAAATCCGTAAATGGCAACGCATCAGTCTCGGACTCGGGTGACCGTACCGGCGTACCGCTCGCCAGACACCCTCTTTTGTTCAGCGACCATAGGCCGGCAACCCATCCATTGTGAGGGTAGGAACAATAAGCACCCCTCACCCCTCCTTAATGGGCCCTAGTACCCGACCCAAAATTTTTTTCTCGCTGAAAAATTCATCTTTTGGCGTGAGAATTTAGTGCCAGCGTGAAATCATGATATAAACGTACTAAAATTCAGTCCAATTATCTTAATTTTGAGCTGATATACGGCATTTAGTGGCGAATCGCGGTCACACGCAAATGTCGTATATCAGCTCAAAATTAAGATACTTGGACTAAATTTTAGTGCGTTTTTATCATAATTTCACGCCAAAAGATGAATTTTTCAGGGAGAAAAAATTTTGGGCCGGGTACTAGGGCCCATTACGGAGGGGTGAGGGGTGCCTATTGTTCCTACCCTCACAATGGATGGGTTGTCGGCCTATGGTCGCTGAACAAAAAAGGGTGTCCGGCAAGCGGTACGGTCACCCGAGCCCAAGACTGATGCGTTGCCATTTACGGAGTTTAATGCCGAATAAAAACTCTCAGTTTTCGTGGAACAGACTATAGTGTGATTGCTCACAGGAAGCAGCAGTAATCAAACGAATCACGAATTTTGGGAGCCATCTTTGATTTTAGGGCTTCTTGAGAGCCGCAGCAGAAAATGGACCTCATTTTCGGACTCTACGACCCTGAAAACCTAATAATTGATACCTCACAATGTATTTAGACCCGAATAAGCAAATTAGTACCCGTAAGAGGTATTTTTGGACGCCATCTTGGATTTTGGCCTGAAAATGACCTTAGGGCTAACTTTAGACTAAAAATTCGGATTCTACGATCAAAAATACCTTATAATCGACACCCGACTCGACGTATTTGCAAACTTTAAATTTTTCTACCCCAAAACCACCATTTTGGCCGCCATCTTGAATTTGGGGGGGAGGGGTTTGTATGAAATTTGAGATGGCCATCATCGATTTTCTTTTTCTAGACATCAAAACGAAGAGATTGATGTATCACACACTATGCCTTCACGAATCTGCACACGGGACATATGTTTTGTTACGCATGCCCCCTGACTAATAGGTTCATTTCCTGTTCACCTCTGTTTTATCTTGTTACTAGCCGTGTTCAGCGAGCTGTGCGAGCTGTCACGCCTAGCCGGGGAGTGCCCCTGGACCCCCGGTTCGTCGCCTCGCCATGAACCTGCGACTCCCTCCGCAAGCTGCCCCGCATAGATATTAATTTTTAAAGTAATAATAATGAGAAGATAACATCTTCGCCACTTTGGCAACGGCCGCCATCTTGGATTTGGAAATTTTGGAAAATATGACTGAAAATTCGAATTTCCGGTCGAAAAATACCTCCTAAAACCTTAAATTTCGTCTATAAGGCTGTGACGTCACGCAACAGGATTGAACCTGCTCGGCGCGGTGCTTGTGAAAAACCTCGTATCTGCAATGCATTAGTATGGGGAGAAACAACTTTTCTTTTTTTGGGGGGGGCTTCGGCGGTATTGTTTTCATTTGATTTTTCAGGCATGTAAATGTGTTTCTTAGCTTCATGCTTGCCAAGTTTGAAGGAAATCGCTCCGACAGTTTTCTTTTAAAGTGCTGATGAAATCTCGGTAGAGTAGCTTTCCACATTGAACTAGCCGTGATTAGCTCGCCGCCTAGACGGAGAGTGCCCCTGAACCCCCAGTTCTTCGCTTCGCTCCGCGATGAACTTGCGACTCGCTCCGCGAGCCGCCACCGCCCCACATAGTTTTTAACATTGATGAGAAGACAACATTTTCGTCTTCATCTTCTTTTACACCAAGTTTTTTAGAAATTAAAGTTCCAGGAGCGGCCGGGACCGCATTATGTAGCGCGGCCGCCATCTTGGATTTTGAAATGTTAAAAATCTGACCAAAAATTGACCCGATGAAAAATATCCCCTGATACCTACAGAATTTCACGAAGATCAATCGAAGTGAAGCCAAGACATCATACCTATTAGGCTACATCTGCCATCAGGGATTTTAAAATTTTTGAAATCGGACCAAAAATTCAAGTTTCACGTCGGAACGTGGCTAGACACTTTACCCAATACCTAATTGGGCCAACAAATTTTATCCAAGGTATAGTTTGGCCAAATTTTATTATCCAATTAAAAATTTAACCCGCCACGAACTCTCGGAGGGGGACCATTCTTGCTTCATGATTCTGGTAGGAACCAGCCTCGACGGATACTTATTTTTTCCACTGAAAGGAACCTTAATATGTTGTGTAACAGTCTAACCATTTTCACCGATGGCACCTTCAAAACAACTCCGAATCAATTTGCGCAATTATTTACTGTTCATGCCATTTTCATGAACTTTGTTTTCCCTGTTGTATTCTGTCTTACACAGCAAAAAGATGAAGAAACTTACAGAGAAATTTACCGACAACTACGGCTCCTTGCCGAAGATTTTCAATTAACACTAAATCCCCAAATTTCCATGAGCGACTTCGAATTAGCGAATCTGAATGCACTTCGTGGATCATTTGATGGAATATCAATTCGTGGATGCCTCTTTCATTTTACTCAGAACATTTTTAAGAACGCAGTGAACCGAGGTCTCAGAATACCCTTCTTCGACCTAGAGGACCCAAATATACGTAATCAAGTGAGATATCTTATGGCTCTTCCTTTCATTCCTCTGGAAGATCTGATGGAAACATATGACATGCTGGAAGCTGATTTCGAAGATGAGCGAGTATTGGACTTGGCGGAATATTTCGAAGTAACTTATCTTCGAGGTCGCCCCGCGAGAGGTCGAAGACGAGCAACTCCTCCGAGATACCCACCGCCTACCTGGAATGTGTATCAATCTGTGTTAAATAGACAAGCGCGAACGAATAACAAAGTTGAATCATTCCATTCTCGCTTCCAAAGAATAGTTGTCGCACAACACTTAAACATTTGGCGGTTTATTGGCGAGCTGCAGAAAGAACAACAAGATACAGAAGCAGCTGTCACACAACTACTAGGAGGGCATGGACATCTTAGAGACCCGATAAATTCAACGTATGTTCGAAACCAAAGACGCCTCGAGACGATAGTTGGAAATTACAAAGAATACAAGCAGCAAAACAATGTCCGTACTTACTTGCGGGCGATTGCTAACAATCTCAAGCAAAGGGCGGATGAGACTCGGACAGACTCGGAAGGCGGCGATGATTAGCCACATCATGAACAGACAGCATGTAAAAGTATGAATTTAATTTTTCCCACAAAATAAATATTACCTTGAACCAAAAACTAACGTGGACTAAGTTAACTATTGGTTAAAAAACTATTGGTCCAAAATTTTATTGGACAAATTTCAGCAACGGACCAAACAATGGACCACTAGACAAGGTACGAATTACAGCATTCTGATACATGTTTCTCAACCAAAATTTCACGTAGAACACGATACGTACAACGAAAATTAACAAAATCAACTCCTGACGAAGATACCTAATGATTCTTAATGCGTGAATTCAAACCACCCGCTCATGAAAACTCAATGCTCTACGTGATTCGCATCGCACGCTAAATGTTTATCAAGACAGTCTCTGCGATGTAAAAATCTTCAACTTCAATCTTGACACTTTGGCTCAGCTATAGCAAATTACCAATAGTTTGAACAACACATGGTGGAAAATGAACATTGCTCGATTGAGAAGCTTGCTGAAATCGTTGTAGTGCACGATTTGACTTACGTAGAGCTTTGAGTTTCTTATGAGCGGGCAGTTCAAATTCCTCGTAACCAATGTGAAATAAAAACGTTAATATCTTTGTTAGGAGTTGATTTTGGTAATTTTCGTTGCGCGAATTGTGTTTTACGTGAAATTTTGGTCAAGAAACATGTATCAGAATGCTTAAATTCGTGCCTTGTCTAGTGGTCCATTGTTGGACCAAACAAAATTGGGTAAAGTGTCTGGCCACCCGTCGGAATATACCCTCTTATACCAAAATCCAGGAAAATCAATGGATCGAGAGCCGAGATAGCATTTTAGACCACGTTCACCATCTTGGATTTTTGAATTTTGACAATCTTACCGATTTTCCCGTCAAAATATACCCTCTGATACCGAATTCCACCAAAATCGATGGCTCAGGAAGCGAGTTAGCATTTGAGGCCACGGCCACCATTATGGATTTTGAAATTTTGAAAATCTGACCAATAATTCGAGTTTCCCGTCGAAATACACCACCTATTACCGAGTTTTACGAAAATCGATCGAACAGGAGCCGACTTAGCATTTTAAGCCGCGGCCGCCATCTTGGATTTTGAAATTTTGATAATCCGACCAAAAATTCGAGTTCTCCGTTGAAAACAACGAACTACACCTCTAGAATGGCCGCGAGATAGCAAACCTGCGTAACGCGCAAGGGCCGGTTTTTGAAGGCAGGAGGGGGGTGGGAGCCCAAGTATAGCTAACCTCAATCTCCATTTCTGCTGCGTCTTGCCCATAAGGATTACATGTGAAAATTTCAACCTATGTAAACTTTCATTTTTTTTTAGGTTTGCTTTCAAAATTCCTATTTTTTGAGTTAAGAAAACCTTTGGAGGTGCGATTATTATGCAATCTCTTCATTGCTATCACTTTATTCAACAATATTCGGCAAAATGTGGGCAGCGTCTGACATGGGTTTAGATGGCAGCCTGCTGTGTGAGCCCAAGTAAACCTAACCCATATCAACTTCAAAACGTTCCGGGTCTCTAACACTGGTCGGCCATTCTAGAGGTGTAGTTCGTTGGTTGAAAAATACCCCCGAATACAACTTCCTACAAAAATCTGTCGAAATATACCTCCTAACACCTTTAATTTCGTCTATAAGGCTGAGACGTCACGCGACCGGATTGAACCTGTTCGGCGCGGTGCGCGTAAACAACCGCGTATCTCCAATGCAATACTATAGATCGCTGCTCCTAGGCAGCGGATTGTAATCGGAATAATTTTGATCAACTCCTCACGACAAGTGCTAAGCATGTACCAAGTTTAAAGGAAATAGTTTCGGCCAATTTTTCTCTAGGGGGAGGGGGGGGGGCAGAGTGAGCCGGTGAGGCAGCTTTATACAGGGTGTCTCCGAAAAAGGAGCCACCTTGAATATCTGCGGAACGCGTCGGAATTTCGAAAAACGGTAAAAGACGTGTTCGTTTATATCGAGGGGGACATCTTTTGGCGTATTTGACATTTTCCCAAACCGCGGGAGGGGCGCGGGGTGGAGGGTGCCCCACCCGTTGGACCAACTTTCCAAATGGCACCTCTACTTTTTTATTTCATTTCAGAAATCAATTCTACGGAAAAAACAAGCCACCCTGTTCAAACCGAATGTGAGTCGGACAATTTTTCAGTGATTGGGAGGGGTTAAAACATTTTTTTCCAGCTCTTTTCAAAAATGTCCCGTCGAAAATGTCGAGTGCAGCAGATTTTTTTTTTTTTCTTTATCGAAAATGCAATGTTTAAGAATTCTTTCGGCGGAGAGTTTGGTTTGATACGGCAATTCCATTGGGCGTGGGAAATTTTTGAAAAGAGCATGAAAAAAATGTTCCAACCCCTGCCAATCACTGAAAAATTGTCCAATTTACATCCGGTTTGTTCAGGAGAGCTTGGTGTTTTGCGTAGAATTGATTTCTGAAATAAAAAAGTAGGGGTGCCATTTGAAAAGTTCGACTTACGGGTGGGGCACCCCCCGCCCCGCGGTTTGGGAAAATGTCAAATACGCCAAAAGATGTCCCCCTTGATATAAATGAACACGTCTCTTACCGTTTTTCGAAATTCCAACGCGTTCGGCAGATATTCAAGGTGGCTCCTTTTTCGTGAGACGCCATGTATAGAGTAATGCTCCTAGACAGTTTCTTCAAGCAGTATGTAAACAGCTCTCATCACTTGTCGACCTGCTCTCTCCTTTCTCACCTATACAGCTTCAAACTTTTGCTATTTACTGTTTGAGCAAATTCAATTTTGTGCATGATGCAGTTTATTAGTGCTTGTTGTTTGTAATTTTGCTCTTTCACTGTTACTAAGTATGCACTAGCCCCTGACGATGAACGCTAGACGTTCGAAAAAGCTTCGGCTCCTATCACCTCTGCATGTACTTCATGTAAGTAAAATAAAACAATTATGAGCATCAAGGTTCCTTTATTAGTCCCTTTTATATTAGACATTTATACAGACGCCAACCAACAGCCCAAAAGCAGCCATTTATGCAGTTAGATATGACGTTGACTTATTCTTCTGTTTCCTCAGTTCTAGACAAAGGAGGGGTATCGATAAGGGCCTCTTTTGGCCTTCCCTAGAGGGCTTTTTTTGGCCCCACCTAGAATCTGGAAATGAATACGGGGTTTCCTAGTTGACGCAATGTTTTTTACGGAAATAATCATGATTTTGGTCTATAGGTCACTGGATACGTGTAAAACGGTCGCCTGAACATGCTTCTGCAGGCGTATTTTAGCGGAAATGCGTGTTTTTCTATCACTCCGAGGCTTTTTTGACACCGAGCGCAGCGTCTAACTAAAACGAGCTTTTGATATAATATCAAGGAGGCTTGAAGACACATTTTAATCCTGGTTTTGTTTTAGTTGGATGATGCGCTCATAGTTAAAAAAAACTTTTTCAAAAGTCGACTTTTAAGGGACATCTGCAAAAATCTTACGGAATTACGTCGTTAGGGTTTTTTTTTGGCTACAATTAAAAAAAAGCTCCTTGTAAGACTTTAACAAGGCTTGATAACTGCCCTCGATAATATACGTAGTGTGCTTACAGTTAGAGACGTGTTTCCCTAAGATTTTAGCAGATGTCCCTTAAAAGTCGACTTTTGAAAAAGTTTTTTTTTTAACTATGAGCGCATCATCTAACTAAAACCAAACCAGGGTTAAAACGTGTCCTAAAGCCTCCTTGATAACATATCAAAAGCTCGTTATAGTTAGACGATGCACTCGGTGTCAAAAAAGCCACGGAGTGATAGAAAAACACGCATTTTCGCTAAAATACGCCTGCAGACGTATGTTCAGGCAACCGTTTTACACGTAGGTATCCAAAGGCCTATGGACCAAATCATGATTACATCCGTAGACTACATTGAGTCAAGTTGGAAAACCCGCATAAATTTCCAGATTCTAGGTGGGACCAAAAAAGGCCCACTAGGGGGGCCAAAAAAGGCCCTTACCGATACCCCTCCTTTCTGCAGTACTAGAAGCAACGCAGTATACCCACAGAGGCAATGCACAGTTGCAGTGTTAAAGAAAGGATACTAGCGGATAGGCGAGGTCGACTGGTTGAAAATGGTTGGTAGAACGGCCCATAATGAACATTGGAGAGATTGTAACATGAATAATCCTACCTTATATAAAATGTTCAGTTCAGGTAGCCCTAACGCCAAAAATCTTAACTCGAAAAATCTCACGCTGGGCGTGCCCACTACCCCTTCCAAATCTTTCATTCCTTATCTCTTCTATTGCATCACCTTCACCTGTACATTCTGCGGGCACTCAGTCCGCTATCACTTATTCTCTTACATCACTCCCACTTTCCCTCCTGGTTTTTGGCGATTTCCATTTACCCTTATGCTACTTTCTCTTCCGGCAATTGCATGTCATTTTTCTCTGCGCTCTAATTAATTGCCTCTGTAAATTTACACTTTTCTTATTCAGTGAGTCCAATGGTTTTATCAATAATTCATGACCGTCTTTTTTTTTTTTTTTTTTTTTTTTTTTTTTTTTTACAGAATTGTTTTCTTTTTCATAGTAGAGTATCATAATTATTGACTTCCTCGGTTATTCTGAGCTCATAATACCATTTTCTCAAATCGTCCAAAACGGTTGGCCGAAAATTGACACCTCTGTTTTTTGTCGAAGGATTTACCGTAAACTCGGTGGGTATTGGGAAGTATTTTAAAACAAAAAAAAAACAAGTTTAAAGTTAAATTCTTTTTAAAAAACTAGGATGCCGCTGCACATCCTAACCCCCGTGTCGTGTTTTATTTCCCCAATTTATAGTGAGCACATCTCTAAATGTTTTTTTGATGCATTGTTGACGTGATTTCCAATCAATGCTTGTAAACCTCATTTGACTTTATTTTTGCATTTTGTCCCGTCTCTGTGGAAAGTATCTCAGTTTATCCATAGTTTTCCTGATTATTAACGTTTTATTTGGATGCGTCCCTTCTCATCCCGGTAAATATCGATGCTTTCTCTTTAACCTTATTCATCCCGTTGAATCCTGATGTTGACCACACTACCTTGTCATAACCTACTAGGCACATCAAAATTCATCCCGTTTCATCCCCATTCGTCACGTCTTGTCACGACGTGCGGAGACATGTCCCGCTTCATAAGGAAACCCCAATTTGGAAAGGAAGTAGTATTTGATCTAAGTTTCAACGTGATTGGCTGGTAGA